GTTCACTCTTCACTTCAGTTAATCTGGTTTCTGAGGCTCCAATGTGGAATCAGAACCCAGAGATTCTGGACTCAGCATTACCTCTCACCAGCTTTGTAATCACAGGCAGGATGTGCAACCTTTCTAACAGTATGCATTTCATAGATATTGAGAATTAAGGGAGATGACACATTTAAAATGTACTCTTCCATGGCCTGACACAGGTAAATGTTCGATAAATGGTAGTTACTATTCTTACTGATTGAACAATACATTAAAAGTTCAGAGATGAGAAAGATTGACCTAGACTTAAGAATGATTTTGAATTCACCTAACTACTTGCTCATTCTTCGGACTAGGAAATTAGAACCCAGAGAAGTGATGTCAAAGTGTCATGAAGGAAGTGATCTCTGAGTCGGATTTTGAAAGATAATAACATAGCTTACATCTATTGAATGTTTACTGTGGGCCAGAGACCATATAAATGCTTGACATGGGTTGTTTCATTTAATCTTCAAAACATTCCTGTGAAGTAGCATTTCAGTAGCTAGAAGCAGATGGTCTGAAGCTGGACAGGGAGAACAGAGAGAAAGGAATAAAGAAAAACCTGGAGGCAGGAAAGACTTGGCTGATTTCTAAAGATGGTGATGAGACGAACCAGTCAGAGTGAAGAGCTTGTTTGTCTTAAGCGTTAAGGAGAAATAATGTTGGAGAGAGTGAGGCAAAATTATGAGGCCTCAGCAACCATGCACCACCCCCCCAAATGGCTCTGTCTAATGAGCAAGATGAATAAATGACTTGGGGAAGGGAGGACACAGGAGGAAGTGGGGTTTTAGCCACCCTGATTTGGGGGCATGCAGGGCACTGCAAGGGCTTCCCAGGTAGCTTAGTGAGTAAAGAACCTGCTTACAATGCAGAAGACGCAGGAGATATGGGTTCAGTTCCTGGGTTGGCAAGATCCACTGGAGGAGGGCACAGCAACCCACTCCACTATTCTTGCCTGGAGAATCCCATGGACAGAGGAGCCTGGCGGGCTACAGTGCATAGGTTGCAAAGAGTTGGACATGACTGAAATGACTGAGCACGCATGCATGCAGGGTTCTGTGAATCCCTGAAGGGCAGTCTGTACTGTATCTACACAGTAAGCTGTGTACTATATACTGTATCTACACAGCCCCAGGGACCCACAGCCTCCACCAGCCACTGCTGATCCCCACCAGGCACTGGTAGGAGAGTACAGCGCAGATTCCTATGAAGTAGAAGCTTCACCACGGCTTATTGAAGGAATGAGTGACTGAAGGAAGACTTGGACTGGAAGTTGTTTCTAGGTGGGAAGTGATGAGAGCTGAGATGATGGTGAAAACAATGGGAATGGAAATAAGGCTGCAAATCCTAGATGCAGTTTCAAAGAAATACTAAGACGGGCTCATATTGGGTATAAGCTAATAGAAGGAACTGTATTTCAGGTTTATTGTATATAGCAAAGTACAGTGTCAGAGCTATCGCATTTGACACATTCTCAATTGTTGTTTAAGCAGACGTTCTGTATTATTATTATTATTATTTTTAATATTCTTTCATTTATTTACTTGGCTGCTCTGGGTCTTAGTTACGGTGCACAAGATCTTTAGTTGCAACATGTGGGATCTAGTTCCCCAACCAGGGATCAAACACGGGCCCCCTGCTTTGGGAGCATGGAGTGTTAGCCACTGGACCACCAGGGAAGTCCCAGACGTTCTATATTTGAAACCAGTCGAAATGAATCAGGTTTCAAAGTGATGATAGTATGTGATTATTATTGCCGTTAAAACATGTCTCTGTCCTTTCTACTCCTGCCCCTTTTGCCCGAGTTCTTGACTGTTTTATCTCACACCTGGGTTGTTGTCACCTCCTGCTGAACCCCGGCCAAATCAACCTTCTCATCTTCACACAGGCCTGGTAGTTGCCGCCTCCCTGTTTTCTGTCCATAGAATTGCCTTCTTCTATGAAGACCTTTTCTTCTACCATTTCATTCCCATTACCAGTTGAAATAGTAGTCATTCTTCAGAACCAAATAATGTGCTGTTTCCCCCATAATGTCTGATCAACACACCTAGAACCGACTGCTTTCCTTCTGAACTCCCAGAGCACTACATGTCACTATCAGCCTGGTTCTGCTCATTTTAAGTGGACATCCCTTTATCAGTATTGTATTTATAGCCTCTGCAATGATGGTACTGTGTGTTGCCTAGTTATGTAATAAATATTTGTGGCATCAATCCAAAACTGTATTAAATACTGCAAATTCCTTCCCAACTAAAAGTTTCCCTTTGGGAAAAGTTTCATATATACAACTTCATGTTAGTAGTATGTATCTTTTGTTAAGATGGAGAATTTCATATCACTCTTCTTGGGGATACTTAGGGGGGGAAAAAGGAAGTTTTAGCTGGGAATAGAAAAAGTGAAAGGCAGGACAGGATTAGTCATTCTTGCAGGTGACTTTTTGGTTGGATAAAGGATGCTGAGGAAAATTAAACCGGAGCCTTCACTGCCATACCCCCTGCCCCATAGGAGGGAGGGTAGTGAACTGAATGAATGTAAGAGGTTTGGGACTACAATCTATGGGCCTTTGGGAACCAAGTAAGATCTGCAAGTCAGAAATCCAGGGCATTGAGCTGAATGGGGATCAGTGGCAGAAAGAAAATGTCTCCTGGCAGGCAGACCACCTGCAAAAGGCAAGCTTAATTTGTAAGGATCTCTTTGAACCCTCCATGAAGTGTGAGTCTAGAATTTCTATTGAACAAGGAACTTAGTTGTATAGTGCCCATTATTGTTTGTGTTGTTGTTTAGTTGCTAAGTCGTGCCCAACTCTTTGTGACCCTATATAACCTGTCAGGCTCCCAGGCAAGAATACTGGAGTGAGTTGCCATTTCCTTCTCCAGGGGATCTATTGTAGGATATAGAAAATGTTATCTATGGGCTGTTATTATTTTTAATATCTATTTATTTATTTGGCTCTACTGGGTCATAGTTGTGGCACACAGGATCTTTAGTTGCAGCCTGCAAATTCTTAGTAGCAGCATTCGGGATCTAGTTCCCTGATGAGGGGTCGAACCCAGGTCCCCTGCATTGGGAGCATGGAGTCTTAGCCTCTGGACCACCAGGGAGTCCCTATAGACTGTTGTTTTAATAAGGGTCATATATGTATATGTATTATATATATATATATATTCATTTTCTTGGTGCTTCAGTCATGACTTAAGACTATTTTAGTTCTAGGTTCCTAAATCAACTGAATTCTGCTAGGATTTTCAGAAATACAATATGTAGCCTGGCGAGACCTACCATACAAATATTCAGCCAGTATTTTCAGAATTGTTAAACGTGGCTAAGCAGCTGTCATGGGCCATGGTGTGGTGAGGATCCCTGAGTGTGACACACCCTCTCAGGGCCCTGGGCCTTGCCATGAGCTGCTCACCTGGCCCAAGATACCTTTCTTCTCTTCTTTTTTGCAACCTTGACCCATACGTAACCTACATAGTTTTTACCCTGATATCACCTCCTCCAAAAATCCTTCCCGAATGTTTTCATTAGAGCCGCTCCCCACGGATTGGGTGCCACTGCTGCCTGGTCCCCAAAAGCCTGAGCGTTCATCCTCACACTTACTTCAGGTGTGGCAGCTTCCATCTGTGGGTCCTACTCCAACCACGTAAGCTCCTCTGGGAGTCCTGTGGGTGCTGAGTAATTGTCGTTTGTTGTTGTTTAGTCTCTAAGTTGTGTCCAGTTTTTTTGAGACCCCAGTGGACTGTAGCCTGCCAGGCTCCTCTGTCATGGGCTTCCTGAGGCAAGAATACTGGAATGGGTTGACATTTCCTTCTTCAGGGGATCTTCCCCACCCAGGGATCCAACCCAAGTCTCCTGCATTGGCACTCGGGTTCTTTACCCCTGAGCCATCAGGGAAGCCCCACTGAATAATTAGCAGGTACTCGGAGGGCCCCTGAGGTCTCAAAAAAAGTTTGCTGGTTGTGTCAGTAAATGCATCCTCTTAGTACAGAACTTGTAGGTGAATGTCTGCTACACAGGAGCTGTCAGTATTTGAGTTTGATGATAATTTTGGAGAACTGCAATCCTGTTTTCTCCTTGTCTTCTCCCCACCCCATCCGGGTGGTAGCTAAACCAGCCTGAAAGATAGTACCTTGCTTCTGTGCCTTAAGCTAATAACAGTTCCCATCCAACCCAGTATTTAAGAAGTGATTATTTTTATTATGTGTCCCCTGGGGAGAAAAGCGGAGGTACAGAGCATTTTTGGATCTCGGTGAATATTTGACATTTTGCTGCCAAACCTATTAAACCCACCGCCAACAGTCTTTCGGGTTTTTAAAATATTCTGCTGGAGAGGGCTCTCTGGATGCTCATTTTCGTGTGTAATATAAACCACATGGTAGCCATCACATCCATCTAAATACTCTTCTAATAGTTTTTCTTTCTAAATTTGGGGGGGGGGGGGTTGGCAGGAGTGCTATAAGTAATCTTCAAATAATTGTAAAACGTTTTTCAGAGGGCAAATAAGTGTCAACCCATGGTTCAGTAAAGTAAAGGTAAAAATAAGTGTCAACCCATGGTTATGTTGAAGCAACATTTTCTTCCAATGCAGAAAAAAATCATCGGCTCTCAAAATGTGAACTAGGTCTTGCTTTTAAATTTTTTCCCTAAGGATTACGGCGCCCGATAATTATTCCCTTGGCTTCAATGACAATAAACTTGACTGTGGGTCGATAAAAATGCAGGATGAAAAAATAAAACCACCAAAACCCTAGTTGGAGCAAACGTAGGACGCCTCCTGTTTACACTGAGCGCAATGATGGGAACTGACCCAGGATCCAAGCGGAGACGATCAAATACCGTCCAGAGTTTCCTTACACGTAAAGATAATGGCCGGTTAAAAAGTTCACTCAAAGTAGCATCCCGGCCCGAATGGCGTCTATAGTTTCGTTATAAAACTTGAGACGCCGCGCCGCCCGGGGCTGGGGGCGCCCGCTCCCTCACCCAGGACCGGGCCGCCGGCGCTGACAGGTGCCCGGGTCGCCGCCGCGCCGAGAGCCGGCGCGCGGGGGGGCTGTAGCTTCGCTGCACCCTCGCCTGTCAGCCAACGGCGCCGGCGGGAGCGAGCGCGGGACGGCGGGCGCGCGGGGCGGGAGGCCGGCCGTGGTCCCCGGCGTCCGAGTGCCCCGCGCGCCGCCCCGACCCGGCCGGTCCGCCCGCGACCGCGGGGGCGGGGGCCGAGCTGCCGGGCGCGGGGGAGCGGGGCCGGGCACCGGGGGTTGGCGGTACGCGCGCTCCGTGCCGGCGCCCGGCCTCGAGCCCGCGCCCCCCCCCCCCCCCCGCGTGCCCGCGCCGCTGCGCGATGCAGTGTGGGGAATGGCTGGGGTTGGCTGAAGAGCGCACAGTGGAGTTTTAATGTCCGCCATGTTGGCCATGGCGTATTGAGGAGAGCGAGCGAGAGAGGAGCGGAGCGTCTCGGCCTCCCACCTCCAGGCGGCTCTGAGTGCCCGGACGGCGGGCTCCGCGCTCCGCCCCTCCAGTCCCCGGCAGCGGTGGGCGAGTGGGGACCGAACCCCCGGTTCTCCATGATCCCGCTGGCCGGGGCCGTTTCCCCAGAGCGGAGAGGTATCTGCTGCGCCTGAGATGAGTAAACTGTCGTTTCGGGCGCGGGCGCTAGACGCCTCGAAGCCGCTGCCGGTTTTCCGCTGTGAGGATCTGCCCGACCTGCACGAATACGCCTCGATAAACCGGGCCGTGCCGCAGATGCCCACCGGAATGGAGAAGGAAGAGGAGTCGGTACGTGTTAACTCCCCTGTCCGACCCGTCGCCGGGCCCCGCTCCCTCCGCTGCCTGCGGCGGCGGCGGAGCGCAGACCCACACAAAATGGCCGCCATCTTCTCTCCGCCGCCGACTCCCGTCGCCGGCCGGGCCTTTACCCCGGGGTCCCCGGCCTTGACCCCCGGCCGCCGCGGCCCGGCGAGGCCTCCTCTCGGGCCACCTGCCGACCCTGGCCCTTCGGACCCGGGGCCCGCGGAGTTCGGGCGCCCGAAAGGCACAAAGGGGTCACGTGACGAGGCTGCCGGCAGCCATTTTGTGGTCGGAGCGCTTGGGCTGGGCCTTGTGCATCCGGAGAGGGAGCGGGCGGGCGGCGGGGGGGTGCGGCGGCCGGGCCGCGGAGGCCCTGCCTGCAGGCTTCTCGGCGGGCCGCTGGGTGGCGCTCTGGGGCCGACTCGGCCTTCGCGCGCCGCCGGCGCCGGGAGCGCAGGTTCCGGGCGCTCGGGTGGCCGTGCTCTCTCGGCGGCCCGCAGGCTGGCGGGGCTGCGCGGCCCACGTGGACCCGCCGAGAGGCCGGGCGGGGGAGGCGGGCGTCCTGCAGCGGAAGGTCGGGGTCGGCGAGCAGCCCAGAGCCGACTTTCGTCCTACGTCCTCTTTTTGGGACTTTTGCATCCATTTCTCCGAGTCCTACTTAATCGGAGGGTTGTCAACTCCTACTCCTGACTTTTTCTTTGATCCTTGAGAGCATGTTGCAGATTTTGAAGGGAACTCCGTGGCTCTTCTAAAGCCTGTGTAACTCTATTATTTCTTTTCCTAATAAAAATCTAAGTTCGCCTGATTGCTGGTTTCTCAAACTACGGGAGACAAGACCCAGTCTAAGTAGATGTTAACAGATCTCCGTTTAGAAAAGGGGTTCTTTCTTATCCATCACCGAACTCAAGTGGAGTGAAATCTTAACCGGGAGATGTTTTCCATGGGCGGGCTTCAGTGTTTGAATGCTGACAGCTCACAGACCTGTGTCGTAGCTGTGGCTGTCGCTGGTCGTGGAAGTTGGGCTCAGACACAAGACTTCTCTCGCTTCCCCCAGAACCTTGTCAGTGTCGCCCGGTGCCTTCCAGGGAATTGCATACCTTGGTTTTCAGGTACAGCCGCTTAAACAGGGGGCAGTGTGTTGACAGTTCAAGAAGTCAAGGAGTCGCTGGATTGGTACTACAATTTTGTGGTGGAAAACTATACTGTAATACCTCTATTTGGGACTGTACGGAATTTTTTTAATGTAGAAATTTTGCTCTGTACTGTTGATTTTGAAAATAAAGCTGTTGAAACTGTTTGGGTTGTTCAACCTTTTAAAGTCAAAGAGTTGTCACAGTTGACTCTTCCTTCGGATTGTAGTGTCCTTAGCGTGTGTAGTAGTTGAGATTGTCTAGTCCTGACTCCGAGCACGTTACCTGTGAGACAGAATCTAATTTCTTTTGCTTGTTCCCAACTTTTAGAGTAGAATGGTGCCGTTTGTTTATTTTTAAATAAGTGATTTGTTTTTAAAAATTAAAGTACTTGTGACTGCAGAATCTTGTCTTTTGGTTTTATTTTTGTTTCTTAAGTTTTACAAATAATGCTTTCAAGTTGGGGGTGTCGTGACCTGGAAATTAAGTTGTGGCCATTGTTTTACCGCCAAGGAACTGGAGAGATTTGATAAAAACAGATAGCACTACACAGAACACTTAGAAACATACTGAAGCCTGGCTTCTTTGAACACTTTGGACTGTCTCAAGAGCCACAGCCTGAAATCAGAGCTGAACCCAGCTGAAGTACCAAAGCTTATTAAATTTTTACAGATAATTTCCATTCACTGAAAGAATTTTGACATTTACTATTTTCTAACATGTAAAGTCCCTATTTTTAGGGGTTTTTTCCCCCCTCAGACTACCTTCTCCTATCATCCGTTTAGAATTTGTTTCACTTCACATCCAACCAAAACTATGACCAGTGAAACAGAGACCTCAGGAATAAATCCTGAATAGAAGAATGTAAACAGTCCCAGGTGGAACAGCTGCTCTCCAGTCCTGTGGTTCATGCTGGCCAGAGGAGGCTGTATAGCTCCAATCACAGTATTAACAGTAGAATGTTGATATTGAAAACGTATACTAAGCACAAATAAAGGTAACTGAATACTGAGTTAGCTTTAGAAAAGCAGTCCTTTTGATAATTCGCTGAAGAAGGATATGCTTCTTATAAAGACAAAAGATTAAAACTTCTGCCTCTGACACGTTAGTTAGGGTCAGGAGTTGATCATGAAAGATGGGACAGAATTACATGAGAACAGTTTTGTGTATATGTCACCTTATTAAAATTGTTGTGTGAACCATTCCTGATAATTGTTACCATATTTTGTTTCTGTGGTAAATGTGGCAGAAATGCTAGGTCTAAACACAGAAAATAACATTAATGTATTTTCATTTAATTTTTACATTATAAGCTGAATGCACTGCCTTAATTAGGCATATCTCTTACTTTTTCAAAAACAACTTTTAAATAGAAGATCCCCTCCAAACATGAATTTTACTCAACTTTAGAGCTTAGTTGTTTAGTCCTTTTTTTGATGAAGATTGAGAAATAATTACAGATTGTAATGAATTAAAGAACTTGACTGAATCATAGATGCTAGAGATGTATTGTCTGAATTGGTATAATGTTATACCTTGTAATTTGCTACATCATAAAGTAACAGTTGATAAGGGCTTTGGTTTAATTAATAACAAGTAATTTTCAAATCCTAGGAAATCAATAGACTGTCAGCTCTAAATATGAAATAAGTCTCTGGGGTTAAAGGGACAAAAATTTAAATAGCAGGGCCAGAGGTTGCACCATAATAATTTTTTAGCATTTTAAGAGTATCATCTTCTAAGTAAGAAATGTTGCATACTACTTAGTGCCATGGCTTTACCTTTAAATGAAAGGATAGTTTTTCCAAGGTATCAGTACTGTCAAATGTTTTTATTAAAAGTTGACTTATTTTGGTTCAAATTGGAGCTTTCCATTGTTAAAATTCTCCTTTATGGATACTTCTCATTTCAGAAAGGACATTCTGAAAAAGGAGGTTTTAAAGTGATGCTCAGCACAGTGGAACTGCTTGGTTCCTCTAGTAGTTTTGTTTTTTTTTTTCTTTTGTCCATTGGGATGCCAGACTGTGACTCTTCCTGTAAGGGTGGAGGCTTAAACTCTCTTCTGTCACCAAGACTGGTTCTGGTAAGATGTGTGATGTAATTAAGATGTTTATAGTGATCTCGCCTTGTTATTGTCCTACACAGCCACCTTTGGAACTGTTAGAAGTAGGATCCAGCCATCACAGGCCAACACTTAGTTTTAGTAGGACAAATAGTCTCAGACACCTATCTTTTCTTTCTTCAAACTGTTCTTACTGGCCCAGTATACAATGTTAAGAAAACCAGGTTTATGAAGTAGCCAGGTAGGTATTTTTTGTTTTTAATTAAGGGTTCAATTGGGCATAGGTACATATCTTTCTTAAGAGGAAAAGTAGTCAACCACTATATTTTCAAAATTTTATTAAAAAATCTATAGTTTTTCTGTTTTATAAAAACAAACTTAAGGTGATAAGTTTAAAAGTTTGATTTCTCATTTTTTAAAAGAAACTAAGGATCCTATTTTTCTTTAAAATTTTGAAAACCAAAATTTCTTAGTACTGAATCTAGATTCCTTTATTCTGTGCACTGCATTGGAAGTGAAAAGACATACGTGAAATCTCAATTGCACTAGAAGCAAAGCTTAATTTTTACAGCTAGTTTGAATTAGAAAGGAATGGAGAATATTTGGGGTTTTTCCATTAAGTAGCAAATAATCAGTTAAAATCAAAGATAACTGAGAAGCAGTAATAAAGTCTAGTTTCAGCTTTCTGTCCTGCCCAAGATATTTTTGATTCAGCAACGGAGGAGGACTGAGGACTCTTACCTACAAAAGGAGCCTCTTGAAAACTGTCAGCCCTGGTGCCTAAAGTGTTAATATTAGCTCTTGCTTCAGTGTGCGGTTTGATATTTAAGATTTGGGATTAGTATCATTTGTAATCAGACTTCATTTTCTCACAAAACAAGACTGAAAACTAATGGGCTTATGCATCTAATGGTGTTTGGTGGGTGCTTGTGACCTGTAATGAAGTTTATACAGAACTACTACCTTTTCTGTTAATCAGCAACACTTACTTAAAAGTACCAGCTAAATAAAGGAGAGCTCAAATCTTGTATATAAGGAATAATAATCAGGTTCATAAATTTGTGGCCAAGATTAAATATTAAACTAGCCATTTCTAATATTTTATCTAAAACAGATTAGGTTTTACTAAATCATAGTCTGTAGTAATAGTAATGGTAAAGTATCAGAGGATGTATATGTATGTAATGGCAAGAGTTCTTTTTTTTTTTTAATTTATTTTTTTAAGAGTTCTATTTGATATATATGAAGGTGTGGATTCTTGACTTTGTGATTCAATTTTTCTGAAAAGGGTATTCGTTATCAGCAGTTGGTTAAAACAATTTTAAAGCAGAGGATAATGTTTTATATCATGGAATGATAGTGTGGTTTGTGATTGTTTCTTAAAAGAAGACAACCCACAAGGAAATAAGAATTTTATATTGTAACTTGGGAATGAAATGAATTCTGAGTCTCCTTAAGTTCAGAAGCAGTATTGAAAGGATGAAATAGGCAGGCTGAACTAGATTGTGTCTTTTAAAGTAAGCTTTTGAACCGTTAAGGTGTGACTTATACTAATATATTACAGTAACTGGATAAATCAATTTGGGGGGACATCATCAGGAAAACAAGTGATTCAGATGCTTTAGACAACCTCTTTGAACTACTTTCAGTGAATTACTTGGAGTTACCTTGATCAAGTTTTTTAAACACTGTGACTGTAGGTAATGATTTTGAGAAATTGCAGCATTTTTAAACAGAGCAGATACCTGACTTTGTACCTTTAAATATATGAATTGTATTTCATCCACCAGCCTCAC